CCTTTTGTAGAGAAGCTGTCTTCGATAAATCTACCTGGTCCTTGTTTAGTTACTGACTGTAAAATTATACTGTAATCATGGCCAGGACATAAACCAATAACTAGAAAATATATAAAGGAAAAAAATCGTAGCCAGGACATAGACCATCAACTAAAAAATAAATAATTACTACAATCATTTTCAGGACATTAAGTAGAAAGTATATAGAATATTATAATCATTGCCAGGACATAAACCATTAACTCGAAAATATATAGAATATTATAATCATTGCCAGGACATAAACCATTAACTAGAAAGTATATATAGAATATTATAATCATTGCCAGAACATAAACCATTAACTAGAAAATATACAGAATATTATAATCATTGCCAGGACATAAACCATTAAGTAGTAAATATATGAAATACTATAATCATAGCCAGGACATAAACCATTAACTAGAAAATACATGAAATACTATAATCATAGCCAGGACATATCATTAACTAGAAAATATATGACATACTATAATCATAGCCAGGACATAAACCATTAACTAGAAAATATATGAAATACTATAATCATAGCCAGGACATAAACCATTAACTACAAAATATACGAAATACTATAATCATAGCCAGGACATAAACCATTAACTAGTAAATATATAGAATATTATAATCATTGCCAGGACATAAACCATTAACTAGTAAATATATGAAATACTATAATCATAGCCGGACATAAACCATTAACTAGAAAATATATAGAATATTATAATCATTGCCAGGACATAAACCATTAACTAGAAAGTATATAGAATAATATAATCATTGCCAGGACATAAACCATTAACTAGAAAATATATAGAATATTATAATCATTGCCAGGACATAAACCATTAACTAGTAAATATATGAAATACTATAATCATTGCCAGGACATAAACCATTAACTAGAAAATATATAGAATATTATAATCATTGCCAGGACATAAACCATTAACTAGTAAATATATGAAATACTATAATCATTGCCAGGACATAAACCATTAACTAGAAAATATATAGAATATTATAATCATTGCCAGGACATAAACCATTAACTAGAAAGTATATAGAATAATATAATCATTGCCAGGACATAAACCATTAACTAGAAAATATATAGAATATTATAATCATTGCCAGGACATAAACCATTAACTAGTAAATATATGAAATACTATAATCATTGCCAGGACATAAACCATTAACTAGTAAATATATGAAATACTATAATCATAGCCAGGACATAAACCATTAACTAGTAAATATATGAAATACTATAATCATTGCCAGGACATAAACCATTAACTAGTAAATATATGAAATACTTTAATCATTGCCAGGACATAAACCATTAACTAGTAAATATATGAAATACTATAATCATTGTCAGGACATAAACAATTAACTAGTAAATATATGAAATACTATAATCATTGCCAGGACATAAACCATTAACTAGTAAATATATGAAATACTATAATCATTGCCAGGACATAAACCATTAACTAGTAAATATATGAAATACTATAATCATTGCCAGGACATAGATTATTACCTAGAAAATACTTACTAGTATAAGTGCCTGAGGTGGTTTCATATACTCTCTGATAATCATTTGCAAGGTCTTGATTCCGCAATTTGACTAACAATCTATATTTGATAGCAGCTTTGATTATCGACCATGAGATAGCAGCTGAAGTATTGGTTACTTCTTTTTTGATTATCTTTAAGGTGATATCTGTAGGTGGTTGTTTAAAGACAAATTGAACTGGATTGGTTCTATTGCCTTCACCAGCTCTGTTAACTGCTGTTATCTGTGAATATCAAAAAAGATACATACCTGTCATAATGAATAATATAACAGAATACAAAGGATGTGTAACATAAACTTCAAAACAAGAATTATAGCACGGAAGCGTAAGGAGCATAGGTTTGCATATTGTTTTGAACACAGATCTAAATTTTGGATTAATGTATATTAATGAGCAAAATGATGAATAATATCAAATCATTATTCATCTCATAACAAATTAACCAAAATCATATTGCAATAAGTAATTGGGAGTTCTCATTATTCAGTAATGAATATTTAGAAGTATCCATCCATAATTGTCTTTTGGTGGTTCTTTTATGGTGGTCAATGCACTGTAGTCAAATCGCATATTCTAGAAACAAATTAGCACTAGGATGTCCTAGGGTTTTCATTTTCAACACTGTTTCTAGGATAACCCAGCACTAAGATAGTTTTCTAGAATACGAAATAAGAGGCCTTTCCACAAAGAATACGGATAGGAACCAAAGAGAACCAGAAGTACTGGAAATGTACAAAAATCACATGATTCCTTAAAAAATATTTCAAACTAGAAATTTTAATCACTATTTCTATACATGACTTTTTTTTATATCACAGAGTATCTTAAAATTAAAATTTGCATCTGTCCTTTAATTCGTGCTATGAAGGAGGAAGCTCTAATTTTGAAACACCCTGTATGTAATTTCTCATGACTGAGTGAAAACCACATTGAAACATTGAAAGTATTAAATAATTTAGATATATCTATCCATAATAAATGTCTTATTTAACTATAATTTAAGCTTCTATTAAGATGGATTAGAAGCAATGAGTGCTCTTCAATATCTACAACCATACCTGATTATTATGGCCCAACCAATGATAAAAACTTTAAGACACACCGACAATGCAAATGAAACAATAGCACATAATTTTACTTACAGTCAAATTATATACTTCATTTTCTATTAAATCATTGTCATCTAAGATATAGCGTGATCTTCCATTTGGGATAACCAACTTTTTCTCTTGGCCACTGTGAATATTTTTATAATAAATCTGAAAAAAGAAATCAAAAGTTACAATTATCAAAATTATCAACATTTCAGATTGGAATTTATAAGAAATTCTAAAGCAAAATTCAAAAGATTTTCAAGCCGAAATCAAAAAAGATTTTCAAAATAAAGTTAAGATATCTAACACTCTAACAAACTTACATAATAAGTAGTTATATACCCATTTGGATGTCTAGGTTCATCCCATCTTACATGAACACTCAGTGATTCTCTACCATAATCATCATTATGAATACCATATACCACATTTATTGGAGCTGATGGAACTTAAAAAACAAACACACATTTGACTTGTATGTAAAGGGCATGAAATTGTTACATAATTACACAACTTTGATCAAAAGTTTTCATCTAGTTATAAAATGAAGACGTTTTCCTAGAGCTTATTTGTAAAGGTCAAGGACATTTTGGAAAAGGTGCAAAGAGACTGACCTCGAAATGCCTTTTCTATTTTAAAACTGGTCATTGAAACTACATAAAATGTTCATTTATTGATGGTTTTGTGATAAATATAATCTTTCACTCCTGCTTATGGCTACTAGTACAATACTTTATGAAATTCATTGACAGATTAAATATCTAATCTGGTAATTCCTTTCAAAAATATCATCCTGTATATCTGTATCTTAAAAATCAACATCTTTACACTGTATCCTTACCTCCTTGTAAGGTTGTAAACCCGGTAACATCAAATGGATTATACACAACATAACCAATTCTAATATATACAGTGAACAGATATACTGTCGAGGGTTGAAGGTTGACCATATGATATACAGTACTAGATATAGTATCATTTACCCAACTTGTTGGATCTCCTTCTTTCCTGTAATAACACACAACTCATTATTAAACATAAAGTATAATTTTAACCATCAAATAAAAAAACAACTGAGTTTCTACACAAAGTTTCAAGACAACAATAAAGTATTCTTCAACTAAAAGTACCCATGAATTAGCTCTTGATCTTGCTTTAATTGCTTGGCAATCATGTGCTATAGCTTTAGATCCCCCACAATAAAAATGAAACTCTTATGCTGTGGTCAGTGTTTTTAAGTCCTATGTCTTCTTTCATCCACATAAATAAGATAATGTAAATATTCAATATTCAAAATACTAAATTGAAGTTTCATCCAAAATTATGCTATTTGTAGCAACAGCAAAACCAGTTCTCCAAATACTTTTCCAAATACATACAAAAGATAGCTTGCCAGGCAAGGTAACATACGCCCACTACCAGCTGTCAGAAACCAATCATGCGATTGTTACTAATTTCAAGCTTTACTAAGGGTTCATGCCATATCAAGATCGGATCAAAAATGTAAAAACCATTCATCCAATTATTACCATATTTGAAATTGAGATCTCATCAATTTATACATGCATACCAAGTTTCATCGAGATCAGATAAAAACTGCACCCTGTATCATGACGACAAGCCAAATTCGAAGTGTTTTTACTAAGTCAAGGGCAATAACTCCAAATTTGTCCCAAATCTCATCCATATATACATGCATACCAAGTTTCATCAAGATCGGATAAAAATTTTAGCTTTATCATGCATACAGGCCAAATTCAGAAATTTACTTAGTTAAGGGCAATAACTTTGAAACCTTTCATCCGATTATTACCAATTTCGAACTTGACCGAGATCTTATCAATATATACATGCATACCAAGTTTCATCCAGATCAGATTAATGCTGTAGCCTCTATCGTAGATACAAGAAATGCGACGGCAATATAGCTCCATATTTCGATGTGGGTGTATAAAAAAGGAAACATTGCACCAACACACACCAAAAGACTGTATATTGATTGGAAGCAAAGGCTACACTCACCCATATGAGATTTGGTAAGATTGATGTACATCAAATGTTCTTGATGAGAGTTCAACAGTAGCTGATGTTGCAGTAATATCCTCAAACCGCACCCTTTGAATTTTCTTATTTCTATCTATAATATGCAATAAATCAAAATATAAAGTCACCATTTTCAGAAATTTAAACATTTATTTTAATGGATGGCACTATTTTCTGTTTATTTCTGATTGGATGTATCTAACTTTTCATTTGTTTATATATCAACAAACCTCATTCACAAAAGTAATTTTATTCCTGAAGGCTGAAAGGGTATGATTATAAATAGAAAGCTTTTAAGGATATAAAAGTTACCTCCACATCTTTCAACACCTTCATCACTATCATCTTGACAATCGCTATCACCATCACATAGATACGCCCATTCTAGACAGTCATTGATACATTGAAATGTGTATATTGTATTACACTGATTAGAGGCTGAAATAAAAGATAACACCATCACATAGATACGCCCATACTAGACAGTGCTAGTTCAACTAGAAACACAGAAAATTCACGATTCTCAAGAAATACTTGAAATTATGTCTTTATCAATTAACAATTGCATCAATTAACTTACAATTTGTTGTAGAGCCTGAACACCCCATTTCATCTGATCCATCAGAACATTGTTTGATCTTATCACATACTTGATCCTTTCTAATACAGCCTTCACTGTATAGACATTTAAAATCTTCACTGGATTGACAGATTTCTGTAACAAATATATACACAAAGATTTCATACCAGTGTCAAATATCATATTGATGCAGAACATTTTAAAGCTTATATAACGCTAACCGAGCAACACAATTGGCTGTGATGTTTGCTATTTCATTTGAAATTAAAAACACCTCCTGATTAATCACATACGTCATAAGACTTCCTCTTAGAAATTGTCTACAATAGTATGCTTTTATCCACAGTCATTTATGAGCTTAGTAAGATGAAAAGTTCTTGTCAAAACTTAGTCATGAGGTTTACTTCAGCTGTATACAACAGCTGATTAGGCTCAAGGCTCATAAAACTATGTCATCATGGTACCATCTGTTAAAAAGCCAAGAGCGCTTCCAATAAGTAACAAACAAGTTTATAAACTTACGGGTGCAGTTTTCCTCATCTTCACCATTATGACAATCATTATCACTATCGCAAACCCAGGCATCCCAAATACACTGTCTATTCTCACTTGATGATTTATAACAATGAAATTGTTCTGGTAAACATACAGGTCGATCAGCTTAATTGAAATGAAAAAAAATACCTTGAAGTAATGATGTATGTCCATTTACTTCAATAAATGTTTAAACAGTAAATTATAATGAACTGGCAATTTTCATTTTGATTATGAACCAAACATGGCTGAAAAATGCAGTCAAATCAACTGACTTGAACATTGGAACAGTTTTTTTGGGCTTTGTAAATTGTCATCTACATGTGCTCTAAATCACTGATTGATTATATACATGATAATTAATGAAAAATGGATGAAACCAAATACTTTTTATTGGTCTAGACAAAGACAAATCTAGAATTCAAACAGAAACGAAACGGTACCCATTTACCACCGCCAGTGCTTCTGAAAGTTGGCCAAGTGTCTGCTTTAATTATATACTTAATTTCATTTACCACAAGAGCCTGTTTCATCTGAATTATCACCACATTCATTAACACCATTACAGACTTGTGATTTATGTATACATCTACCATTGTTACATCTATGATCATTGGGTGAACAGGCTGGGCCACTGGTTGTTGATGTATAATCTATTATACCTAGAGCACACAATCAGATATAAAAATACCTCACAATAAAACTTCATGCTGAACAAAGAATAATAATTTTATTATCAAACATCATCATCATTACTTCCCTCTACCACTGGGTTGAAATATTGTCTTTAATGTGAGCATAGAATTGTTATGGTGACACCAATTATACACACTACTAAACAATATCTACTAGTGAATCATATAGACAGGGAGGACACCGACTCTATACTGACTCAAATATTAATAATCCATATACATGTGCCCTTACAATGTTTATAGTTATGACTTTAACAAGAATTGCTTTGTTGGATTGTCTTACCAAGTAAATAACCTCCATGAATAGAGTTATGGTAAATTAACTTGTAAATGACAGACATAAATTGATTTTAACACATACCACAGTCAGATTCATCTGAATTATCACCACAATCATTGATACCATTACAGATATATCTCCATGATACACAGAAGTGATTATGACAAGTAAACTGGTTACACGGTCTAGGAGTGGTAGGTGATGCTGTTGTTGTTGTGTTGCTGGCTAAAATTTTCACACCAAATAAATATAATAGGAATACATGTACTTGATTATGATATTAATATTTGAAGATAAATGGAAAAACCCACTCAATCAAAATCTCAAAATAGAATTTTTATGATTCCTGTAGATCTTTTTCAAATCTACATTTAAATTTAAATGAGCACAAAGCGCATAGCAACAAGCGGCTGTTCAAACAATATTCACAGAAATTGTGATGTAGAGGGTTTTGAATAAAAGAAAACTGGCTCAGTGTGATACAGTATACTTACAAGACTACCTATATGTCACCAGCTTGGCAAAGTTTCCCTCATTGTACACAAATACCTAACAAAAAAGCAACTTACAGCATCCTACTTCATCACTTCCATCTTTACAGTCTTCATCACCATCACATCTCCATGTATTAAAGATACACTGTGTATCATTGGTACATTTAAACCTCCAGGGTGAACAGGTATAGGCATCACAATCCTCTTCATCACTACTGTCATCACAATCTATATGACCATCACACTGTCTATTAACACCAATACATTGTCCATCTTTAACACAGCTAAACTCCCATGATCTACATGAACCTGGTGATTAGGAAAACATTCTTATTCAAATATAATAATATTAAAATTTCTAGCAAAACACTGTTAATTTTTATTTCATGATTATTGATTACTACAATTCACAGTAAAGATTAGTCCTTTGTTTAAATATATAGTCATACATAAATAACAAGAATTTTTCAACAAGATATAACAACTCCTCCAGAAAACAAAATTCCACAAATCATTTGTATTATGCAGAAAAGGAGTATAAGTAAAATTAGGATTGTAAAGTATTTTTTTGGCATTTGCATCATCCCTTTTTAAGTCGAAAAATATTGAAATGCCATAAACATCATAAACAAGTCAGATGATATCCTTACTGTTTCTGTTGAATGCTTGAATCTTAATCTTAATAGGATGAAAAATAAATACGAAGAGCCAAATGAAACAAATAACATCATTTTGAGGTAAGAAATGAAACAAAAAACATCATTTTGAGGTAAGAAATGAAACAAATAACATCATTTTGAGGTAAGAAATGAAACAAATAACATCATTTTGAGGTAAGAAATGAAACAAATAACATCATTTTGAGGTAAGAAATGAAACCAATAACATCATTTTGAGGTAAGAAATGAAACCAATAACATCATATTGAGGTAAGAAATGAAACAAATAACATCATTTTGAGGTAAGAAATGAAACCAATAAAGATGTACCATATTGCTTACTTGTGTAGTTGCAAGCTCTTTCATCAGATTTATCTGTACAATCATCATCAAAATCACACTTCCATGCAGAAGCTATACATTTCTTATTATCACATTGAAACTGGTTAGGATCACAAGTAGGATATTCTACAATATAGATAAAGGCCAAGTTGGTCAAAATGTTATCCACACATTATTATATGGAGATGAAGTAAAGAAGAATGTTCAAAAGAATAATAACACTCATATTAAGTTTGACACAGCTATATATCATACTTTGAGAGGCATGCAATTTTGGTACCACATATACTGGTTAAAAAACCTATCAAGACAAAATAGCCTTACAATACATCATGATTGAAACAAACTATTATAAGGGAATCTCCAGAGATCTTCTGCTATTGAACTGAATCAACAATCAGAATTTGAAATCTGTTTTAATCCAAGAATTCCATTCTATGATAAATCTTTGAAAGAAGTCGCAATAAAAGGAGTAATATCAGCATATGAAATGAAAAACCAAGTCAGTTTAATGCGTTACTCATGATGCAGAAATCATTTGGTTTCTTTTGTTAGATTATGCATTCTAGTAAAACTGACATTATTTTCTCTTACCACAATTGTGCTCGTCTGAGCCATCACCACAGTCATTATCAAAGTCACATTGCCACTGGCTTGGTATACATTTTCCAGTTTTACAGGTAAATTGATTAGAATCACACGTGGAATAAGCTGTAATAGTTATAAAATTAAATAAAGAAGAGGCCTCATGGACTCAAAACTCTTCAGAAACATGACTCAATTAGGTCAAAACTCTTCAGAGACATGACTCAATTAGGTTAAAAGTCTTCAGAGACATGACACAATAAGGTTAAAACTCTTCAGAGACATGACTCAATTAGGTCAAAAGTCTTCAGAAACATGACTCAATTAGGTTAAAAGTCTTCAGAGACATGACACAATTAGGTCAAAACTCTTCAGAGACATGACTCAATTAGGTTAAAAGTCTTCAGAAACATGCCCCAATAATCTCAAAAACTTTCAGAGACTTGATTCAATTAGCTCAAAAGTCTTCAGAGACATGACACAATTAGCTCAAAACTCTTCAGAAACATGACTCAATTAGGTTAAAAGTCTTCAGAAACATGACCTAATTAGCTCAAAACTCTTCATAGACTTGATTCAATTAGCCCAAAACTCTTCAGAGACATGACTCAATTAGGTCAAAAGTCTTCAGAAACATGACCTAATTAGCTCAAAACTCTTCATAGACTTGATTCAATTAGCTCAAAACTCTTCAGAGACATGACTCAATTAGGTCAAAAGTCTTCAGAAACATGACCTCAATTAGGTCAAAACTCTTCAGAAACATGACCCAATTAGCTCAAAACTCTTCAGAGACTTGACTCAATTAGCCCAAAACTCTTCAGAGACATGACTCAATTAGGTCAAAAGTCTTCAGAGACATGACACAATTAGCTCAAAACTCTTCAGAAACATGACTCAATTAGGTTAAAAGTCTTCAGAAACATGCCCCAATAATCTCAAAACTTTCAGAGACTTGATTCAATTAGCCCAAAACTCTTCAGAGACATGACTCAATTAGGTCAAAAGTCTTCAGAAACATGACCCAATTAGCTCAAAACTCTTCAGAGACTTGATTCAATTAGCTCAAAACTCTTCAGAGACATGACTCAATTAGGTCAAAAGTCTTCAGAAACATGACCCAATTAGCTCAAAACTCTTCAGAGGCATGACTCAATTAGGTCAAAAGTCTTCAGAAACATGACCCAATTAGCTCAAAACTCTTCAGAGGCATGACTCAATTAGGTCAAAAGTCTTCAGAAACATGACCCAATTAGCTCAAAACTCTTCAGAGACTTGACCCAATTAGCTCAAAACTCTTCAGAGACATGACTCAATTAGGTCAAAAGTCTTCAGAAACATGACCCAATTAGCTCAAAACTCTTCAGAGGCATGACTCAATTAGGTCAAAAGTCTTCAGAAACATGACTCAATTAGCTCAAAACTCTTCAGAGACATGACTCAATTAGGTCAAAAGTCTTCAGAGACATGACACAATTAGGTCAAAACTCTTCAGAAACATGACTCAATTAGGTTAAAAGTCTTCAGAAACATGCCCCAATAATCTCAAAACTTTCAGAGACTTGATTCAATTAGCCCAAAACTCTTCAGAGACATGACTCAATTAGGTCAAAAGTCTTCACAAACATGACCCAATTAGCTCAAAACTCTTCAGAAACTTGATTCAATTAGCTCAAAACTCTTCAGAGACATGACTCAATTAGGTCAAAAGTCTTCAGAAACATGACCCAATTAGCTCAAAACTCTTCAGAGACTTGATTCAATTAGGTCAAAACTCTTCAGAGACATGACTCAATTAGGTCAAAACTCTTCAGAGACATGACTCAATTAGGTTAAAAGTCTTCAGAGACATGACACAATAAGGTTAAAACTCTTCAGAGACATGACTCAATTAGGTCAAAAGTCTTCAGAAACATGACACAATTAGGTTAAAAGTCTTCAGAGACATGACACAATAAGGTTAAAACTCTTCAGAGACATGACTCAATTAGGTTAAAAATCTTCAGAGACATGACACAATAAGGTTAAAACTCTTCAGAGACATGACTCAATTAGGTCAAAAGTCTTCAGAAACATGACCCAATTAGCTCAAAACTCTTCAGAGACATGACTCAATTAGGTCAAAAGTCTTCAGAAACATGACCCAATAAGCTCAAAACTCTTCAGAGACATGACTCAATTAAGTCAAAAGTCTTCAGAAACATGACCCCATTAGCTCAAAACTCTTCAGAGACATGACTCAATTAGGTCAAAAGTCTTCACAAACATGACCCAATTAGCTCAAAACTCTTCAGAGACTTGATTCAATTAGCTCAAAACTCTTCAGAGACATGACTCAATTAGGTCAAAAGTCTTCAGAAACATGACCCAATTAGCTCAAAACTCTTCAGAGACATGACTCAATTAGGTCAAAAGTCTTCAGAAACATGCCCCAATAATCTCAAAACTTTCAGAGACTTGATTCAATTAGCTCAAAACTCTTCAGAGACATGACTCAATTAGGTCAAAAGTCTTCAGAGACATGACACAATTAGGTCAAAAGTCTTCAGAAACATGCCCCAATCATCTCAAAACTTTCAGAGACTTGATTCAATTAGCTCAAAACTCTTCAGAAACATGACACAATTAGCTCAAAACTCTTCAGAGACATGACTCAATTAGGTCAAAAGTCTTCAGAAACATGACCCAATTAGCTCAAAACTCTTCAGAGACTTGATTCAATTAGCTCAAAACTCTTCAGAGACTTGATTCAATTAGCTCAAAACTCTTCAGAGACATGACTCAATTAGGTCAAAAGTCTTCAGAGACATGACCCAATTAGCTTAAAACTCTTCAGAGACTTGACTCAATTAGGTCAAAACTCTTCAGAGACATGACACAATTAGGTCAAAACTCTTCAGAGACATGCCCCAATAATCTCAAAACTTTCAGATCAGAAACAAGACCAAATTAGTTCAAACCTCTTCAGACACCTGACTCAATCAAATGACGAATCTCAACCCCCTCCCAAGATGTGACTCATTAAGCATAAATTCAATAAAACAAGACTCAAAACCCATAGAGGCATATATGGCTCAAAAACAATAAAGATACGACTTATGAACTTACCGCAATTAAGTTCATCAGACCCATCATTACAATCATTATCATGGTCACATTCCCAAGTTAACGGCATACATTCACCACTCGCACAATGGAATCTATCACTGGAACATGTGGTACCTGAAACACCAAGAATACACTTAGTTTCTCTATAGATTAGACCCATACATTGAATAGTGATCAACTAATTGCAGAATCAATGGCAAAAAATCAGGGTTTAGGAAAAATGTTCAGTAGATATAGTGAAAATTGTAAAGTGATCAACAGAAATATGGACAAACAAAAATAACAGGAAAAACACATTTAAGACAAGCTAAACAGTTGATTTTCAAAACAATACTATACCACTGCTATAGAACTTGCAGCAGTGTGAAAACTTTGTAGGACAATTAACTTAAAAATCTTCAAACAAATATTAAAAACTTACTATTAGTGGACATTTCACAGATACCGTTTAACATAGTTTCACCAGGTCCACAACGACAGTTCTCATCCCCTGTAGCAGTATTAATAGTATGTTGAAAATCATCTCCACATTTACATGTTCTATTCTGTGTACCTTGAACAGTATGATGTGGTCTGGGTAGACACAGTTGAGAACATTGAGGATGACCAGGATTACAAGCTCCATTAGCTAAAAATTAAAGATATTTAAAATGTGACCAATTAGAATTCAACTAAATCAAATTGACTGTTGTGTATTTCTTAATAGTATTTTACTAAGATAATAAAATAGAGATCTCTGCAGCTTTTTCTTCATTTGCACATTGAATTGCATGACATTTCCCAACTTGATTAGAAGAATACCAGAGTATTGACATGACCTCACTGAGCACTGAATGTTGTAGATAGCAAAACTGAGACAAGACATGTAGGAAAAAAATGTATTTCATTATCTTAGTATAGTCTGATTAAGTAATACAAAACCGTCAATTTGATTCAGTTGAGCACAGCTCTAGCACAATCTGAATGGAGAGGTCAGTGTGAAAAAACCATATTCTAATAGCAATGAAATAATTTAAAGCCAACAAGGACAAAGTTCAACTGTATATTGTCTGTGGTTAATAAGAAGTTTTTGTTTTGTTTACCTTGTTGTGATGTATGAGAGATAACCCTCAGATCTGTTACACCTTTCAGCATGGATTCCACTGTTTCTATTCCTAATCCTGACTCTTTATTAGCTACTAATATAGCATCTCTACCCCAATCAGACCAATACATCTCATTCTATAATTATATACGGCAATGGTCTAATGAAGGTATAATTGGCTAAAATACTATAATGTGAGTACCTACTAGAACTAATCATCATGATTCCTTTAGTTTTGCTGAAAAAGTACTCTTTACATTACATCCAATACCCCTAAATTGAAATTAATTCAGTAAGTAAGGGTTTGTTAAATCCACATGAGAACAAGCATACCTTATATACACCAATAGAGTATGGATGTAGTAGATTATCAGTACCATGAACCAATACTTTACGATTATTACCGCTTAGATCAGCTGACATTATAACTATTTTATTACTATCAGTCCAGAATAATCTCTCTAATTCTATATCTACAGTTAATCCAGTAGGCCGTTCTATATCACTACCATTGACAATAGTCTTAATAGAACCATTGTTACCATCCATCCAGGAACTACATATTCTGGGATTATCTGCTGACCAATCTGCCCAGTACATGAAACTAAAATGGAATGAATAGTTAATATGGCTGTAGAAAGGTCCATCATGCAAATTCCTAGCCCTATCAACAAGCCAATATCAACTGTTTATGATTTCTGTGTATCAAATATGATTAATTACCAATCCTATTACATTAGCATTTCTATATGTCCAAGCATCTGAAATATGTAAAGTTCTTGATGCACACAGGATCTTGTATTACTGTAACATACAACTATATAGACACTCTTTCAACCCATATCATGGACAGGGAAACCAGTATACTATATTCACATATTCCGTGATCATTCCCCGATATCAGACCTTACATACATGCAGATTTATCAAATCATTATCAAGAAAATAAAAATATATGATAAAACTATGTTATATAAAATCATACCCATAATGTGGATTTAAAGTGATTGAACGAGGAATTTCTAGATGAGTAGAATCAATCAAAAGTCTCCTCCATTTTCCATCTTTACTGGCAACCTCAATTTTTTTAGCTTCACCATCTACCCAATAGATAGTTTTAGCTGTCCAATCATAGGCTAAACCATTAATACTTCTAATATTATTGTCTATAAGATCAGTTATATTTCTACTGTCACTTTCTCCCATGCACAGTTTCTGAAATAAAGAAAAATAATATATTTTACTAAAGTACTATAAATAAACCAATCCATCAAAATTGAAATGTAGTGTTCCAAAATGTTCGGATTCCAGTATGGTTTACAATATCAGTCTTGTATCATCAGTATTACATTATCAGATTTATAGCATAAATTCATTGACAAAGTAGGATAGAAAGTGAGCTCATGATACAAAAATGTTTTTGGATATAATTTTTGGGATATAAAAAATGTTTTTTGGATATAATTTTTGGGATATAATTTTGGGGATATAAAAAATGTTTTTTGGATATAATTTTTGGGATATAAAAAATGTTTTTTGGATATAATTTTTCGGATATAAAAAATGTTTTTTGGATATAATTTTGGGGATATAAAATTTTTTGGGGGTATAAAAAATCATCTGCAGAACAGCTAATTTATTAGCAAGACAATTTTCCAAAGCAGAAATTGAGACATTTGAGTAAAGTAAGCAAATTCCATAAACAGGAGAAAGAATAAAACAACAAATATATTCCACAGCATGAAAATCATGATTATAACTCATCTGCCAATAAGTGCAATTAGTTACCTTAATCTTTCGATCAACATTATCTGCCCAAAATACACAATTATGTTGATAGTCAAAATCTACAACTGTGACATCTGTTAAGCCAGTGTTAACTAAGATTTCATTATTATTATTATCTAGATCTATTCTTCCTATTGTACTACCAGTAGTATATAATATAAACTCTCTTCTCTCTGAAATATAATACACTAGAAATTCTCTAGTTTCATGTTTTTTTGATAAAGTTTGTAGTTTTTGGCAGAGTTTTAAGCACATGATAGCTACCAATGTATTGAAAAACTGTTATTTTGCATTTCAGGTTTGGATCTATAGCACTTTATTTTCTATTTACTGTAGGCTGAGTTGAGTATATCAATAATTGATAGTATATTACCTTGAATAGGACAAGAGTATATTAAAGGAGCATATTTATGTTCATCTCCACCTTTACATGTGTCACCTGCTACTTTACGATATCTAAAAATAAGATAAAAATTCAATACAGAGAGCTAAAATAATTAAAACCTAGCAAAATTAACTAGATTAAGACAAGCAATCTCAAGGCAATACCTTATTAACTGGTTAATATCCATTATTTTTTTTTTTTTTGATACGGTTCCAAAATTGGCTAATTTGAATGATTCACAATACGAGAAGCTTTGACCTCTTGAATAAGGCTCAAAAGACTAGGAAATGAAATGAAATGAATGGAATTTTATGTCCTACTTTTCTGCACCATGTGGGCTAATGAAGACGGGCAACGCCATGCAGGGAGCGATGAGGGAAATTTTGCCAAGACAGCGGCATTAGCCTGCTCTATTTAGATCTTTAACGTGCACAGCCTGTAGCACACAGGGCCTCGGTTTATTGTTCCATCCGAACGACTAGATGTCAGCCCCTCTTACCTGCATCACTGACAGGGGGAAACCAGGTTGAAAAATCCAAAGGTATTATCTCGACCTATGCCGGGATTGAACCCTGGACCTTCAGGTTAGCAAGCAAGCGTCTAACTCACTGAGCCACCGCGGCTCCCTCAAAAGACTAGGCCTTTCAAGATGGAATCCCAAGGCACAATGTGTATTTATGTTAAGATGGAGATCAGGATCTCCAGGCTAAAAAAGAAATGGTCTAACTCTTACCCTCTAGTATAAGGATAAAAAGTACCCTCAGGACAATTTTGAGGTATTTTATGAATTTGGCCAGCCGGTACATCTGGATCTGTTTTACACATCAAATTCATATCTTTAAATCCATAATCACTGAAAGGTAATAATTCTATCATTCCAATATGTCACCAAAACCAAGAATTCTCTTTAAATAATTCTAAGTGAACCTTATACATTGGTCTAAATCATGCCTGATTTTGACAAAATATCAAACAAGAGAGTTCGTAAGCACAATCGTGTAATTGTTCTGTCGCACATACAACAAACTGGAAACATGTCAGTTTCTGTTACAGTTATTTAATTCTGGAGCTAATCAAGTTTTAAAGCTTATGATGTAACCAATTTGAATAAACTTCCAGAATGACTGACAGTGGCGCACATCTCAGAAATTACGTTTTCTCACAACGACAGTAGGTTTGGTAACAAAGACTAAATTCGAACGTGTTTAATAAACAACCTCCCTGAATTTGCATGAAAAAAGTTTCAGAAAAAATCTTACCATTCAAAATCATCTCTGGTACAAGAACAATTCCTTTCAGTTTGTTGTCTAACATAACTCTTACCATTAAAACATGGTGCATGAGCTATTCGTCTTTCAAATTCTATCTTTTTACCCAATAAACATCCATGATCTGGGGTTTCCATAGGTAGAGACCAGATTTTATAATCATCTTTAGTACAGTTAACACCTACCAAAAAATTAAAGATATTATTATCTAGATATTAAGGATGGTGAGCGACCATAAATCATTTTTAAGCCAAAATCTGGATTTGTGTAAAATAAAAACCGCATTCATAATGACTTGAACATTCATCATCTATAAAGGATCCATATAGTGCCACAAAAAAAAGTTATATTATTTTGATTTTAGACTAAATAAAACTATGCACAAAAATGAGCTGTCAATGGGGGAAAAAAATACGAATTTTCTTTAAAATACTGATAATTTTCGTTTACCAATGGTATGACTTTAAAATATGTCATCTACTTACGGAACACTGATCTCAGATCTACTTGTACAATAAGCCAGCTATGTTTTTCTAGATAGGAACCATATACTGAGAATATAGTGGTTGTCTCTCCTGGCTCTGTTAATAAACCATAGATTCTTATCTTTGTATCATCTTTCATAAATTTATAAGACTGCCATGTTTCACCTTCATTGGTGGAATAACTGAAAAATGACATTTTATTAGTCTAATTACCAACATTAATCCACGATTGGTTACGGAATATTGTGGTACTTCTAATATCTGATCAGGGCTTACTGTACTTTCTAAAGCTGATTAGTAATGGAATATTGTTGTACTATATCTGCGAGTAATAGAAGTAACAAGAATTTTGTTCTGATTAGTTATGGAATATTCATTGTAGCTGCTATATATATCTGACAAGCAAAAACTTGTTAGTTACAAAACATTATGGTACTTAACAGATCTAATCTGTTAGAGAATGTTATTTTACTAACATCTGATCAGTTATTTAATATTGTTGTACATTTACAAGATCTGATACTTGTTGCACTTACCAGATCTGATTAGTTATGGAATATTGATTACTTACACAATCATGTTCGTTAGGGAATATATTTACTACTGTATCTGATATATAATGGAATGCTTTTGTACTAACAAATTTTGATTAGTTATGAAATATAGTTGTAAAAAATAGTTCCAATTAGTTATGTAATATAGGTTTACTTACAAAATCTGATTAGTTGTGGAACATTGTTGAAATCACAAGATCTGATTAGTTACAGAATATAGTTATTCTTAACAAGATCGAATCAGTTATGGAATATAGTTGTGCTTACAAGATCTGATAGTGATTGATGGACTTACATGATCACTTACAAAATCTACTTCATTAGGGAATATTTTTACTACTATATCTGACATATAATGGAATGTTTTGTACTAACAAAATCTGATTAGTTATGGAATATAGTTGGACTTACAAAATCTGATTAGTTATGGAATATAGTTGGACTTACGAAATCTGATTAGTTATGGAATATAGTTGTACTTACTAGATCTGATTAGTTATATATTGTTGTTGTACTTACAGAATCTGATTTGTTATGGAATGTTTCTGTACTTACAAGATCTGATTAGTTATGGAATATTGTTGTATTTACAAGATCTGATTATTTATGGAATATTGTTGTATTTACAAGATCTGATAACTTGTGGAATATTTTTGTATTTACAAGATCTGATAAGTTATAAAATATTGATGCACTTACAAGATCTGATAAGTTATAAAATATTGATGCACTTACAAGATCTGATAAGTTATGGAATATTGTTGTACTTACAAGATCTGATAAGTTATGGAATATTGATGGACTTACAAGATCTGATAAGTTATGGAATATTGATGCACTTACAAGATCTGATAAGTTATGGAATATTGTTGTACTTACAAGATCTAATAAGTTATAAAATATTGATGTACTTACAAGATGTGATAAGTTATGGAATATTTTTGTACTTACAAGATCTAATCAGTTATAAAATATTGATGTACTTACAAGATCTGGTTAGTTATGGAATATTGTTGAATAGCCACCAGTAGTCCTCCGTGATCACCAAGTGTATACATATATAACCCATCTAATACCTTTAAAATAAAATACAACTGTATTATTTCTTATGAAAAGGTTGCAACTCTGTCAGGTAACAATAAGGCACCCTCAATAATTCCAGTCGACCCAGCTGTATATGGGTACGGATAATCTGGGTAAGATCAATGTCAACAGGTTTGGTCAAGGATCAGTGAACCTAGCTTGTTATCCTTGTAAAACATAGTTGTTTCTTTTTCTTTTTTTCAATCAATTTCTGAACTTCGCACAATAATTTCTCAATTATTTAAAAGATTGATATTTAGTTAAGAAATGGAAAAAAGGTAATCTTTACATCCAAAAGGTGTCTGACTTTCAGCTGAAATGACAATAACTTGCAGTAAATTTTGAAAATTTTTTTTTGATACCTTCAAAATCAACTCAGATTTGATGCATATATACGTTTTCAAAATATACGTTTACCTACCTGATGCCATGACACACCAGCATTGGAAGTGACAAATATATCAGGTACTCCTTTGAGACTGGCACCAATAACACCAGCAGCTAGGATGAGACCAGGTGCTGACTGATGAGATGTGATAGGTGAGGAACTGGTTTTAGAATATAGATGATGATATTGCTGTGTCAGATGTAAGGAACAGCGATTGGACTGAAAATAAGACATACGGTACATAATCATGATTTGTGTAACAGGAATTATTCCAAACCATAACACTTGTCAAGAAATCTTTTGTTGATAGCTTTATTACTGAAGCAATATTGGTTCAATATGACATAAATTTAATTCCAACTAATTGATTTCATCAGGAGTGGTGCACATTTTTTAGTGACAGAGGTTTTACCAAGATTCTCTGAACGGTTAAAGAGGATGCACACTATATTTTTGTAAGTATATAGTATAAGACTTATTAACAATAAATATATCTTCTATTTAATTCAATCACATAACATGTTAGAGATTACCATATATTTCTGAATATAATGCAACATGGATAATGCCCACCCCTTTTTACCTTCCAGTATATCTTCAAAAATCTCTGTCAACATAAACAATGCGCATTCTCTCCTGGTGAAAAAATTAACAGACACCATATTAGTGACTGGTAATATTGCATATTTCCCAACTTTCACTTATACAAGCTTATTTGTTATTGTATAATAAATCAAGTCTCCAAACGAACATAACATGGAAAAATACAACATAAATAATAAACAAAAGCGTGCTAATAAGATAGTTTAAATGTATAGTTTCAATCAAAATAGATAGAATGTCACTCAAAACAGCCATGCAAATGTGCAAAAAGAGCGATATTGATTCATCTATTAAAAAATAAACAAGCGGTTATGAGAATAAAACTAAATTTATAGAGGGTTCTAAATATTCTTAATGTCATGCATTCAATTGTCTGTTTTTATGAAACAATTTGCAAAAACATTTTGTATTGCCTTCTTTAATCTTTTGATTTGTTCAGTGTAATATGGCCTACTGATTCCTTATCTTTTGGGCTGGCTTGTTAAATGTAAACTCTATTCATTGCAGTTCATTTTATTTCAAGAGTTAAGTAAATGTACTAATACAAACAGTTAACAAAAACAAAACAAACAACATGCTGAGAATTGAATGAAATCAACCAGAACAAAAATCAGTGAAGGAATAAAACAATGAAACTATCCTCAATCAATACCCACCTGTGCATTTACTGATATTTTATCCTTTAAATTAAAAACATTATAACTGTAGATATAGTCTAAAGATATAATTAATTTTCACACAATTTACACCTAATGCACATCCTTGTGATTTTCTGCCATATTTATTGGGGCCTCATTCACAATTATCAGTGTTCCAGTTATCAGAATTGATCTGATTGGTCAGTTTAAATTCAATTCTATTGTTCAACCAGATTACTGTATTTCTTCATATCTGAATTAAGATATTTTGAATAAAATGGCATTTTTATTTGGTAGAAAGTCATTGGATTTATGTTTTACTTTGAATCAGAATCATACATAGCTACTGTACCTTTGAACAGTTGGTAGAAGAACCATCAGGTTTATAAGTTGGAGCTGTTATCAACTCCCATTCACCACCTTTATCATAGGTTATCAATGAAACTTGTTCAGATATATCTGAATCTTTAACTTGTGATGCTATATAAATACCTCTCATACCATTCACTTTATAAATATCAGCAAAGGTATCATTTGTATATTGACTGAAATGCAAATTTTTTTACATTTGACTTTCTGCACCTTACAGATACTCATTATATGTCATTCTTTTAAACTGCTGTGACTGTTCAGTTGTTTACATACTTTCCAGTTTATTTCAATAAATAAAGAACATCCATTTCAAAATTTTATTGTTGCTCAAGTCTAGAAACAATGTTTCAAAATTAATTTCAATTATCTCACCTTATCCATGTGTCCTTATTGGCACCTTTAGGATTATAATAAACAATTCTTTCAAGAGACAGTGAGAATTTCAACCCTTCTACTTCTGATATATATAAATTGGTTAAAGATTCATTATGAGTCACACAAGCCATCACTTGACCCTCTGACGCATCAGCTATAAAAAAATCCTGAAAAAAGACACATAATCAATCTGATACCAATATAAATACATTGTTTCAATTTTTAACAGATGCTATAAAACAATGCATTTGAATCTTTAGACATTCCTTAAACAGAGACTTATTCATAAAATATTTTGTTATAAAGACTTTTCACATTGTCTTATCTTATTGGTCAATGTTTAAAATTAAGTTCAGATTTCGAGAACAAGGCTTAAATAAAGGCTTTGTCTGCTGTAGTCAGAAACAGCCCTGCAGTGTAGTGGCTTAGTATTTTCAATAATAAAAAATAATAGTCAATACAAGTATTTATATAGCACAAATATTCTTGGTAAAACATAAGTAAAACAAGTGATAAATTGCGCTTGATACAAAATTAGATAATTGAAAATTCAGATAATATATAAAACATAATATATTGTACAATACCACAAAAAAGATCAGTTAAAAGCTTGTTTAAAAAGATGGGTTTTAAGATTCTGTTTAAAAGAATCTAATTCAAAATATTTTCTGATAGATATTGGTAATGAATTCCATAAAGCTGGGGCTCTTATTTCAAAGGACCTATTGCCGGTCCTGACACCGAAACCACAACTACCCTTCTTTTTGCACTCAAATCGTTCCATGGAACGCAGGGATTTGCCTAGCACATGCCACTCAATTAGGGAAGACAAATATGACGGTGTAAGATCGTGTAGTGATTTAAATGTCAACAGCAATTTTGTATTCAATCCGATACTTTATTGGCAACCAAAGTAGATCATAAAGCACAGGAGTAATATGTTTAGAGACATTGGTTCTTGTGACAATGTGCACCGCAGTATTTTGCAAAAGCTGTAGACGATTTATTTGATTTCCACTGATAACAGAGTACAATGAATTACAATAATCTAATCGAGAGGTAACCAGGGAGTGAACAAGCTGTTCAGTAGCGAACTTTGTGAGGTATTTACGAATTAAACCAATTCTGCAAAGGTGAAATTGCACCGAAAGACAGACAGTAAATATATTGGCTTTCATAGAGAGCACTGTCAAAAATGATGCCGAAACTCCTGGCCTTGAAATTTCAATAATGTACAGTGGAGTCTCGTTTATCAGCACATTCCCGTTCCCGACAAAATCGCGCGGTTTAACAAAAATCCCCATTGTTGAAACATGCCATTCAATAACTAGAGTTATGTCCCTTCCTATAAGGAAACCTGTTAAGTGTCACATACGCAACACGTGATAGACATGTGTACTTTATACGGCCAATAAGTTGTGAAGAACCCCGATTGTTTATAATTTTCATTTCATTTCACTATCATAGCATGGTAATTACAATTAAACATTCCTTAAAATTAGGATTAGAAGAACTCACAGTGACATGCGACCGGATGATGAATACTATTTACTATAGAATTTGATAATTGGTACCTAATCACAGCCGTGTGGAATTGGAAACCGAATCGTCGGATTAACAGTTACTTTTACATAGTAAATATTCTGTTCCCAGTTGTAGTTCATTGTTTTCATGAGATCAAAAATTTAAAAAGTGCAAATTCACAAAAAAAGTTCCCAAGAATGTTGGATAAGCAAGTTTTGACGCAACGAGACTTATATCATAGTAATAATAGATACTTACAAGGTTTTTATGTGAATATGGAAATTGTGCTGCCTGAAATTCACCTCTTTTATAAGAGACCCACAGTTGTAATGTATTGGCATTATGGGAACCAAATAATCTCTGAAATTAGATAATGGTTCATAGAATTATTCTGATGGAACTATAGAGCACATAAACATGACTGTGTTCATATTCATTTCATAAACAAGCTGGAGAGTCTTGTCTTTATACCAACAGCAAATAATATAATTTTTAATTCGTACTCATGTACCCTGGGGTACAGTCTTCCATATTAGCACCTTTGTCTATCACCAGTCAATAACAAAATGGAGGATTGTCAATATTGACTGGGGAACCTCTTGTGAAAGATTTTTTTAAAAAAATCCCTGTGTATAATGCCCATTAAATACTGTGCATTGTGCACTATACATGCAAATATACGGTTTATGAAAAGGATGAAAAGGAAAGAAAGCACTGGTTGTGTTATCAGAAATCGCCAAGCAGATGACAAATTTCACAAGATAATGGCATCACTGTCACAATACTATTCAAGCCAAATAGTTCTGACAATGACAATTTTCAGGAACCTCCATAGTAGAAGTAATAATGCAGATAAAAGCTACAAGTGCTTATGATCTGTGTACAAATACATAAACCAAATATAAATATTGTCACTTACAACTTTCCTAGTAGCAAATAGATAAGGCCCCTTAACTTCAAAATCTTCTACTCCCTCTAGGACTACAGTTCTTTGCCAGTTATGGTTAAAGTTGACTCCTTGAGTATATTCTTGTTTGATGACAATGTTGTCATCTTTTCTTTCTTCTTCTACGTATACTGTCAGATTATTTTTATCATATGGTGAAACACCCCTGTTATGATAGTATCAATATTCAGTATAAACATTTTAAGTTTTTAGGCCCTGAAGATACTTAGTTTAATTTGACTGTTTTCCAACTGTTAAAGAATCTTAAGAATGCAAGTTCTGAAGTAGATTATGCAGCACGATAAATTAAAATGGAAAATCTCAAAGATGTCACAAGACACAAAATATCTATCACCACAGGAAATAGAGATGGACATGTTGCAATTCCTAAGTCAATGTCTATAAGCTCTATCAATCAAGATGGAAATAAATGACATTACAAAATGTCCGCCGAAAGAGGAAACGCTATATGACCAGTGCAATGCATGGGCTTAGACAGCTTTCTCAGGCTAGGTAAATCTAATATATAAAGGACAATGGCCTCTGACAAAAATTATTGCATAGCATTCAACATACCAAAAGAAGAACTTCACATTAGGTTGTAAAAGATGCCAGGAAAAACCAAAATCAATGGAATAAAATAACTGAAAATATAAGAAAATATAAATAATAGTCCAGAAATTCTAAATGGACTAAAAAGTGACTAACTGCATATTCATTTAGTAAAGACTTTGAATAAATCTAAATTAAAAACAATAAGCTCTTAATGCAAACTCGTGGGATAGATTAGAGTTGGGCGATATGGGATTTTTTGTGTTACACAATATAGACAATTTTTTATAACGATAGGTTAAAATATTGTGATATAGAAAATTTCCGGGAAATAAGCTCTTTCTAATGTTATAAAGAGTCTCATTTATTGTTTCTGCTTGAAGGTATTTTCTATATGTCATCAATAGTTAGATTTTATCCCATGTAATTGCTAGTAAAGCAGAAAATTTGATGACTGTATATCTTTAAAATATAAGCCACCTTTGAGCAAAGCAGATAAACTGAAAAAAACATAAAACTTACTCTTTTCTGGGGATCTTTATCATCAAAGGCCAACAAGGAACTAACAACAGTTGGATGGACATGGATAAATTTAGGTCGGAATGATAGGCCACAAGTTTTATAGAATGTTTTACCAAAATTATGGGTTCGAAATGTACAATTATGGATAATGT